AATAAAATGTTGTTTTATTTTATATATATTAATTCATTCTTTATTCAAAAAATTTGAACAAAAAGAAAAAAAAATTCGCTCGCTGTTACAATTAATAAAACTTACAATAATTATAGGATTGAAATTAACTTGGAATTAAATTATTCTCAACAATAACACAGCCACATAAAAAAAAATTTTTTTCTGATCTTGGGGTCTGACCATGTTTACTGTATGTTTTTGGGGTCGCTGAATCCGAATCCGAGGTCTATTTAACCCCATCACATCAGGATTTTGCCATAATGTAAGTCAACTCCAATAATCACGTATGTCAGACTTTTATCTTGATTAGTACGTTATTTTAATTTATAACCGCATAACTCTGGTCATTGCACCTTCCTTTGCAACAATTTTTCTTTTGTCTCAAGCACCTGAAACATACTGTTGTGTTCTAGAAACACTTCACCCGAAAAGTGTCTATTTTTACGTTTACTCATGTAATGTGAGTTTTTCAAACATTGTACCGTCGGCATTGGCGTTACCCGATGTACACCGCGGGAAGGTTGCACGATCGGGTTTTGTACATCATGTAGCCCTTAAAAGGGCTGTTTGGAAAGTTGGGGATAAAAGGAATATATTACTTCAATTGTTCTCTTTTTTCGAGCTGTATCGAGTTCTTTTCTCTTCAAAAGATTTATGCAATGTATTTCTTTTACGCTTATTGTCTTGTTCAAGAGTTTCTCTTTTGAGCATCCAGCAAAAATCTGCCAGCATATTAACATCCCACCGTCCCTGATAGCGAGTATCCATAATTTTAATGTCCTGGTTATAACCTGGGACACTTCAGTGAAGAGCAGGGCGAACGTTTTCACCAGGACATTAAAATTATGGATACTCGCTATCAGGGACGGTGGGTCGTTAATACGGTGGCAGATTTTTCCTGGATGCTCAAAAGAGAAACTCTTGAACAAGACAATAAGCGTAAAAGAAATACATTGCATAGATCTTTTGAAGAGAAAAGAACTCGATACAGCTCGAAAAAAGAGAACAATTGAAGTAATATATTCCTTTTATCCCCAACTTTCCAAACAGCCCTTTTAAGGGCTACATGATGTACAAAACCCGATCGTGCAACCTTCCCGCGGTGTACATCGGGTAACGCCAATGCCGACGGTACAATGTTTGAAAAACTCACATTACATGAGTAAACGTAAAAATAGACACTTTTCGGGTGAAGTGTTTCTAGGACACAACAGTATGTTTCAGGTGCTTGAGACAAAAGAAAAATTGTTGCAAAGGAAGGTGCAATGACCAGAGTTATGCGGTTATAAATTAAAATAACGTACTAATCAAGATAAAAGTCTGACATACGTAATTACTGGAGTTGACTTACATTAAAATCCTGATGTGATGGGGGTAAATAGACCTCGGATTCGGATTCAGCGACCCCAA